TTGTAGTTTGGTTTTATATTGCCAGACCAAATGGCAAAAATGTAAAGAAATCAGATGACATTTTCACGTTGTGGCCGGGCAAAGAAATAAAGGTAATACTTTTGAGCTATTGTGTGCAAACAGTTTCTGCTAAAGGTTTAAGATGATGTGTGTACATGTTTCTTTATAAAAAAGAAATAGCCATTACTACATTTGAAGAAGTCCAGTAATGAGAGGTTAAAACAGTTTCCTGGGGAAGGCAGTGTTTTAACTTCTAGTTCTCCTTCCATAAAACAAATCCACAGCTGGTGGTTTTTTTGCAGTTCATGTCATAGTAATGGTTAATAGTGATACAACCATACTTTCTGTGTTAGCTCTTAATTTAACTTCTAATTGCAATAAAAATTGCTTAATTTGTGTCTATGCAACAGTGTTTTACTGACAGCACACTTCGGGTTGAATACATGAAGGATGACTCAGTTTACAGGATGTAGAGCATTCAGCAAAGCTTAGATTATTTTCTTTAGATTAGGTTTTTTAGTGTTCCAGTAGATCTGTCATCAAGACTTAGTGAAAGCAATAGGAAATAGTAAGTAAAAATGCTTGTAAACTAAATAAATTTTGGAAATCATTGTATCTCTAAGATTCAGGATAGATGTTGTGATCTTTTCTCATTATCTTAAGTGAATTTGCCGCTAGGAAATCCTTCTGTTGACAATGCAGATGATACATCTTTAGTTTTTCTCTTTGATACCCTTCTTCACTGGAAAATTCTTTGTGTAAAAGTGGGGTGGGGTGAAATAATTTTAAATTCTGATCTTCCCCAGCCTGTACTAGAAGGATGAATTACATTGTTTTGTATCCTTTCCTTATGAACAACACAAAGCCATAGTCAGAATACGTGGAAAAGGATACAGATGAATGTAGTGAGGAGGAATGTAATCCAGTTTTCCATGTTTATTACACATAGCCTTGAACTTACAGAAGTAAGTTAGAATTTTGTACTGTTGCTGTACTTTGATTTATATACATCAAAGTAAATGTCCTCAAAAATGCTTCAGAAGAAAAAGATAATGCATATACCTATTTCTTGGGATAAAATATATATTTATATATATAGATATATAGATTTATTGTACATGTATCTATTTTTAATATAGTTTGATTAGAAAGCCAGGTAACACAAGGAAAGAAACTTCTTCCTCCTAAGTTCTCAGACACTGAAAAGAAATCCTAAGTAAATTTTTGTTTCATGTATATAACAAAGTGTGTTTGGGGTGGAAACAGAAAAAAATACAAAGACATAGAATAGAATTTAAAATGTGTATTTAATGTATTACATATTTAAATGTTACGTATTTGTAATTTTAATGAGTCTGACTATTTGATTGCTCCTTTCTTCCAGTTACTGCAGCCAGGTACTTAGTAAAGAAGTTGACAGTTGTGTGACAGATCTCTTAAAAGAATTGGTTCGTTTCCAAGATCGCTTGTATCAGAAAGACCCAGTAAAAGCCAAGATAAAACGCAGGCTTGTTATGGGTCTTAGAGAAGTTCTGAAACATCTGAAGCTGAAAAAACTGAAGTGTGTCATCATCTCTCCTAACTGCGAAAAGATTCAGTCAAAGGGTAAATAAGTTCTTAACGAGAAAAAAAAAGTCTGTTTAATAAAAGAAATACAAAAGAGAAGGTTCAGTATATTGACAGCAATATTATTATTGGAGGAATTTATTTGAGTATCCTTTGAAATCCAGCCACATGTAGTTGCCTTCCTTGCTCAGATTGTTTACTGCTGTGCAGCTGAACTGTGAGCTGAGTCAAGACTATCTGGGGTGGGAGAAGTTGCCTGAGATTAGGGTCTTTTTAGTTACTGATTGGCTGTGCTGCTGCATAAAAAATTGCACTGCACAACTGAGACAATCCAAAGGCTTCTGATGCCAGATCTGCCATCACAGGGGGTCACACTTTATCAGTCTCTTTAGGACACGGAGTGACAATAAATCACTAGTGATAGTTTCCTAAAAGTTGTCATTATTGGCATTAATTTATTGTAATTGTTGTAATTATTGTAATTTAAATAATTCCTTAGCAGCTGGGTCTTTTTTGATACTAGATTAGACTGTACTTCATATATAGTAAAATATGGAATAGTAGCAGTCTAAAATTAATGCTAAGAATTAAGAAAAAAATGTCAAGTTGTCCTTTAAAAATGGATATTCACTGGTATTATTGTGATCTCTTGTTTATTTTTCCTATAAGGTGTACTTTCAGAATGCACCCATAATCTTGTGTAATTTTTTGCCTTGTGTTAACAGTATGGCTCTTCAGCTCCAATCAGCCTGATTGTATTGTCTGTTTCAGGTGGGCTGGATGAGACTCTACACAACATTATCGACTGTGCCTGTGAGCAGAACATCCCGTTTGTTTTTGCCCTTAATCGCAAGGCTCTGGGCCGCTGTGTGAACAAAGCAGTGCCTGTGAGTGTGGTGGGAATTTTCAGTTATGATGGGGCTCAGGTAAGCTGAAACAAGGCACTTCATGTTTTTGTTCAACTTCACTTCTTACTTGGAAGAGGAGATGAAAATACTGTGATTTTTTAAGGGTTTTTTTGTTTGTTTTGCTTTTGCAGACTTACACGCCATCACAGGTCATACACATAGCTTAAGTGAAAAACAGATTTTAGAAGTACAGGCAGTTAGCACTGTTTAAAAAATTACTCTTGCCGTCTCTTCCTGATATCCTCTTCATCTCCCTCAATATTTCAAGAGAACTGCTGTTTTTATAAATGCTGATAAATGCTGTGTTTTTCATGTCTTCATACATACTAAGCTGCTCAACTTTTATATATGAACCTCCACATTCTGAATAAGGAATATTCATTAGATTTTCAAGATGTTAAAATTTACTGTATGATTTAAACTCAATTATTTTATATTGCCATAGGACCATTTTCATAGAATGGTACAGCTGACAGCAGAGGCTAGGAAGGCCTACAGAGATATGATAGCAGCTTTAGAGGAAGAAGCTAAAGCAGGACTAAGAGAAACCCAACCCAGCATCTTAAATTCTGAACCTGAAAAAAGTGGCCTGTTAGAAACTTGTAAAACATCTTCCAGAGACTCAGATGAGGATGTACCAAATTACAGTAAGTATTTACTGACTTGTTTTTTGTTCTATTTTCATTCATTGTGCTTATTAGTTCTCTGATCTTTCACTGAAATGAATGACATCTGCTCTAGTCATTATTAAGGAGGGAAGGAGGGGGAAAATTCTTGGTTTTTTTTATAAATCTGAAGTCAGGTTTTGCTGAGAAAGTGTTAAAGAAAGTTCCTCCCTGAAATCCAGAAATGGCATGGAATACTCCTTGCTTTGATCAAGGAGGTTTAACAGAGCTCCTAACTATACTGCTATTTGTTCAAAAAATCCTTTTAAGATTAATTGTAGGTGTTCATCCTCTATGACTATGGTAGACATACCTTTTGTATTGAAGCCTATTTGAAATGCATCTTCCTATCCACAAACACTCATTTCTAGAAACATTTTCCACCAGCTCTGTTCTTAAGTCAACAGACAGTGCAATGTATTGCAGATAGAAAGTTTTGAAAACTTAGAGGTTTTTTAAAGCTGGAACCATCTTCAGCATTAGCCTTGCTTGAGTAGGGTGTTTGTTGGGCACAAGGAGCTCAGTCACTCATGGGTTATTTTTTTGTGTGTCATCTGATGTTGCATAATGTAAATGCCAGCATGCCTGTGTCAGCTTATCTCAGCTCTTATTTTGAAGGGGAAGTAAAGAATCAGCGTTGACTTTTCATTTTAAGTATTTCCTCAAGTATTATATGGTAACATGTTGGTTTTTGTTTTTTCTTTGTTGTTTGCTTCTTTTTTTTTCCCCAATATTCCCTAGTTAAAGTCTGGAGGAGAAAACTTGAAGAAGAATATAACCCATATGCACTGGAATTGGAAAAGAGTGCAACTGCTGACATGGCAGTATTGAATCTGGAAGACCATCAGTAAATCCACATCCAGCTCTGTTGGGCTTTTAATTTTTTTTTTCTGTTAGATCCCTAGGAAGAAGGTAGCAAAATTACATTCTCTAAAGAAATACCTGGAGTTAACTAAGCAACTTGTTCTGAATCCCTTTAAGCAAAATACACACTGGAGCACATGAGGCACTGGTTAATTTTTTTATGTTCTATTTGTTTATCTGATTATTATAGCAGATGACCACCGAATTGCTGTAGCCCCAAACCATTTGAACTGGCTTGGCATACTTTATGGACTAGCATTGACTTCTTGGGGTAGAATATACCAAAAGAACCTGATAGAAAAATAATTTTCTTCTGGAAGAGATTCCTTGAGCCAGAAGGGGCTAAAGGAGAGTTGCCCTTAATTTTTAACTCTTGTATAAAAAACTTCAGTTCTTGTTTGATTATGGATTTGTTCTTAGTTTTTCTTCTAAATAAGCATGCTCAGAAGGGCAGGCTGCTATCAATGTCACTTTATTCTAGTCATCAACAAATTAATTTGGGTCAGGTAGCTTGATTTAAACTAATTAAGGAAGGCCTTGATGACAAAGTTCCTAGTTAGGAACTAGGAGTTAGGAACTTTTCTGTGTTGTTCCTTGGGGATCATACATCAGGTGTGAAGGAAATAGCACAGACTACAAGGGTCTGAAATTCCTGAAGTGAATGTGCTCTGTTTAGACTTTTTATAAATTTGATGTTTCTGTTGCTACTGAGAGTAGTTTGTCATACATCCTGCTTTGAAGTTCAATATACTGCAGGACAGCAAATGTGCTAGCCTGCTTCTTTGTACCTTCTCTTTGCTGAGACTTCATTCCTTCAGTTTGGGGTTGTGGTGGTATGTACATCTATGAGTTTTTGAGCAATCTCAGTTTGTATCTAAATAGAAAAAATTTATATCTTATACAAAATGAAGTTTGTATCGTAGAGGAAATAAAATTTTAAAAATCAAATTTGCTTATAGTAGTGGTGGAGCACCTTAGTAGGAACAGCCTACATAAACACTCTTTTTTGAGGACAAGCCTAAAGAAAGTAATTGGTGGGATGCACATAAAACTTGTGTCAGCTTTTCTGAAAGGTGATACAGAGACCATGTGCTGCTCAGCATCTCTGAGGTGTGTCTGCAAGTGCTTCACCATACTGAACATTTGTAGTGCAATACTTTGGAAAGTCCCTGCCTTGTGATGATAGAAGTGATATAAAAAACTCTAATTTTGAAATTAAAACAATTTTGTAGAATATAGATTGTATAAAATCTGATACAATATATTGATTCTATAAAGAATTCTTGTGGCTTAAGTAAGCTTGTCTTGTGGGAATTTAGTGATACTTGAAATGTCACTTTTGGGAAAGACCATTGATAAGGGGAGCCAGCCTTATGCTGAAATGCACTAGTTATGATGATGATCTTTTTTGGATTAGGTCCTTCTAATATTATTAAATGGAAATTGGGGGTGAAAGGTCCCAGTAACAAAACATGCTTCTGGCCAGCATAGATCCTTGATGCAAAGGTAAGCTGTGATTTATTCATTTGCACCTGTGCCATTTGGATACAAAATTAAATTAATTTGGATATAAAATTCTGGAACTGCTAAACCCAGTCATTGCACAGAATGAGGACCGGTTGGTAAGGAAGTTTGGTTTTGACCATGTTTTCTATTTTGTCTTACTGTAGAAAAGCATAAAACTTCAGAAACATTATTCACAATCTTAGGAACTTATTTCCAGTTCTTAGAGAGTATTAAAAAAAAAAAAAATTACTGTAAGGTGTCCCAGCCATGGTTACCAAGGCTGGTACAGACAGATTTTTCTTTTTCTCCTTCCCCCACCCCCCCCCACAGAAAACTGAACTAAAGCAAAAATTTGGCAACTTTTTATTACTCACAGTAATTTCCTGCAGAAACATAGCAAAGCTTAGCTATGCTAACCCTGACCCCTGGACCCCTGTCTTTATAATCCCACTCATCTCCACAGAACTAAACCTAAGTGTGCTCCAAATTAGTTAACAAATGGAGGACAGACAATTCAAGGAAAGTCTATTTACAGTTGTCTTGAGAACAAAAAGATGAGAACAAATGTGAAAAAAATACCTCTGGTGGTGTCAGAAGTCTGCATCAGCATTAATAAAATGCCTGTATGAAAAACTGAGAAAATGGTTAAGAATAGTAGGGAAAAAGTTAATTTTGACCCTGCGTGTGTGACAAGGTGGTCTGATACTGAAAAAAAAAGGATCATTCAAGTCTTAGCATGGAGAGACTGCTTTCTTTAATGTGGGAAACACTAATTTACATCTTAGCAGTTGGGAGAGAACTTAGGGATGAGAATGAAGCTTTCTGATACTGCTCAAAGCAGATCTCTGCCTGGGCTGATTGATTATTTTATGGAGCATCTTACTTGCTTCCAAATTGTTGAAATCCATTGAGCAGATAATAGAGAAAATTTAATTTATACCTCAGACTTATGTTTCTTAGATGCAGAAAGACAAAACTCTGAGCAGTAATGCAGTAGAACACTTTTACTGTGGATAGTGTAGGTCCTCACATTTTCAGTCTGCCCTTGATCATCATAAGGAATGGTCTTTGAATTCATTCCACATAGAATTTTTAAGCTGCATTTTCTCAAATATAGAAGATCTTGCAAAAATTAAAGAGTCTTCTTGCATACTTTAAGCATTAGTTAGAACTCCTTTATTTGGTATAGAAACTTTATTACTGTCATGGTTTAAGCCCAGCCAGCAACCAAGTGCCACCCAGCCTCTCACAGTGGGAGCAGACTGGTAGGCTAAAAGCCAGAAAACCCGTGGGTTGAGATGACAGTTGAATAGGTAAAGCAAAAGCAATGCACAGAAGCAAAGCAAAACCGTTAATTCAGTGCTTCCCATGGGCAGGCAGGTGTTCAGCCATCTCCAGGAGTGCAGGGCCCCATCACACGCAATGGTTTCTTGGGAAAACAAATTACATCACTCCATACATATACCCCGCCTTTATATCCTGTGCATGATGCCATGTGGTCTGGATTATCCCTTGGGTCAGGTGGGGTCACCTGTCCTGGCTGTGTCTCCTCCCAACCTCCCATGCACCCCCTAATTTCTTGCCATTGTGGCAGTGCAAAAAGCAGAAAAGGCCTTGGCTCTGTGTGAGCCCTGCTCAGCAATAACGAAAACATCTCTCCATTATCAACCCTGTGTTCAGCACAAATTCATACCAGCCACTGTGAAGAAAATTAACTCAAACCCAGCACAATTACCAAAGGAAGTATGTTTCAACAAATGAGCTTGCTGACACTAGAAAGGAATGCTCTTCAAAACACTGGCAACATAAGGGTAAACATAGTAAAAGCAAGTGTACAAGTTGAAATGCCTTTAAATAAATGTGATGCCAAGATCCTCAAGTCCAAAATTATCTGGTTGGCTTAATAAACTCAAAACAGAAAACATCATGTTCTTTGAACAGCACAAGTCTTGCTGAGACTACTTTTTTCCTTTATTAAGCTGAGATAGCTGACATCAGAAAACCAGAAATAGTTGCAGCATGGGATGGGTGGCCTCTCTTGTACCATGTAACTCAGCTTAGTTATTCTTTGGTGCAGTAAGAATATCCCCTTCTACTTCATGCTTGAGGTTCTCCTGAATATCAGTTTTAATATCAGCACTAATGCTTGCAAAGACATCTCCAAATGCTGTAATATTAACAGTTACTCCTAACTTGCATACATATCTCCTTCTTAGAGGCCGTTTCTCTTGTTGCAGGTCTCCTGAAGAAAAATTTCAGAATGATGTGTTAATACCACCCATAGTGCATAATATCTAAGGTTTTCAAAAGTGATCTTTGTTCCAACTGTTGGAGAAAGTATTAATAGATGGGTATGGACTTCTTTTTTCTTTTTTTTTTTACAAAAGTCAGCTTTTATGAACAGTACCATTTATGAAGTCCAGTAGTCTCTGCAGTCCAGCTAGTCTACAGATGTGATGATCCTGATCTACTCTATTCACTATACACAGACTTACTGTTTTGAGCAGGAAGAGAACTACTGACTGCTGAGCACTTTGTTAGTAGACTGAAGGAACAAGCTGACATAACTGAAATGAATGTCATACACAGAACAGACTTTACTGCTGAGGGGGTCAACAATGATGACACGGACAGGAACACCAGTCATTTTGTTATATAAATACATGCAGTTGCAGAAGTGCAAGAGGCAGTTTTTAAAAGTCTTACCCATGTTTTCCTCCAGTTTTGCATCATTTTGTCATGTTCACTGATGGCACTTCTCCAGCTATCAAATTCTTTGGTCCATGCATCCTGACCAGCATTATCTGAGAATGGAATGGGATGATTACATAAGCATGTAATGGCAGAAGTCAGTACATGTTCAGATTCAGGACTGTCCTGCAGGAAGGGGACTAGAAAGAACCCACGTCTTGTCCTTAATTTTGCTGTACATCCTTTCATGTTATTTGTCAGTAAGTTCTGGTGAAATGGTTATATCTCTTACACTGTGCAGCAAACTTAACAGCCTCCAGAGGAAACAGGTTTAGTACCATTATCTGTGATTTGAGATCTAGAAGGCAGGACCTACAAATGAATAGTTCACATCCATCTAACAAGCACAGGAATGCTCCAGGTAAATAACAAGCCTGGGGAGAAGGAGTTGACATGTTGGAGAGGACCAGTTAACATGAGGTACCAGTGACACGATGGACATGACCAGCTGGTACTCCTTGTTTTTCAATAATCATAGGATCACAGAATCAGTCAGGAAAGGACCTCTGAGATCATTAAATCTAACCTATGATCAACCTACCTTGTCAACTGGAGCACCCAGCTCCACAACCAGGCAGTCTTGAAACACCTTCAGGGAGAGTGACTCCACCACTTCCCTGGGCAGCCCATTCTAATGTTTAATTATCCTTTCTGTGAAGAAATTCCACCTAATCAGTCCAGCCCAAACCTCCTCTACCACAGCTTAAGCCTGTGTCCTCTTGTCCTGGGAAAGAGGCCGACCCCCACCTGGCTATGCCGTCCTGTCAAGTGGTTGCAAAGTGTGATAAGGTCTCCCCTCATCCTCCTTTTCTCCAGGCTAAACACCGCCTGCTCAATCAGCCTCTCCTCACAGGACTTGTGCTCCAGACCCTTCATCAGCCTTGTTGCCTTTCTCTGGACATGCTCCAGCATCTCAACCTCACACACCATCAATTTCCTGAAGTGAGGGGGCCCAGAACTGGACACAAAACTCAAGCCTCACCAGTGCTGAATACCAGGTACCATCACTGCCCTGCTCCTGCTGGCCACACTGTTGCTGATACAGGCCAGGATGCCATTGGCCTTCCTGACCACCTGGGCACAGCTGGCTCATGTTCAGCCACTGTCACCAGTACCCCCACATCCCTTTCTTCCTGTCCACTGTCCAGCCACTCTTACCGCAGCCGGTAGCGTAGTAAGGGGTTGTTGTGGACAAAGTGCGGCCACAACACTTGGACTTGGTCCAAGACCCAGCACTTGGTCTTGTTGAACCTCATACTGCTGGATATGGTCCATCAATCCAGCCTGTCCATGGCCTTTGCAGAGCCCTCCCAGCCTCCAGCAGATTAACACTCCCTCACAACTTGGCATCACCTGCAAATTTGCCGATGGTGGACTCAATCCTCTTGTTCAGATCATCAATGAAGATATTAATTAAAGAGTACAGACCCCAGCACAGACCCCTGAGGGACACCACTGGTGCCCAGCCCCCAGTTGGATGCAGCACCGTTCACCACCACTCTCTGGGCCCGGCCATCCAGCCAGTTCCTAACCCAGCACCGAGTGCTCCTGCCCAAGCCGAGGGCTGCCAGCTGTTCCAGGAGTGTGCTGTGGGAGACAGTGTCAAAGCCTTGCTGAAGTCCAAACAGACAACATCCACAGCTTTTCCTGCATCCACCAGCTGGGTCACCTGGTCATAAAGGGAGATCAGGCTGGCCAAACATGACCTACCCCTCCTAAACCCATGCTGGCTGGGTCTGATCCTTCAGCCATCTGTAGATGGCACGTAATTTAATTCAAGAGTTCCTTGTACTTCCTTACATTGATAATTTAAGAAGGGCTATGTTACTGCAGCTTGGTGTATTTGTCAGCTTATTTTGCAGAATATAAGACTGATGGTGACATATTTTCCATTTATCTTTTGCTAGCAACAGTCATCTTTTTAGAGCACAGTGAGAGCCCCTCTGTCTGTTTTACATTTACATTGGTTTGGTTGAGATGCTCTTAATTCTGCTTCTGAGATGGACTTCAAAGTAACTGGAGTGATGGCATAACTCCTGTGGCTTTTCTCTGTCATTGAAAAAAGCGGCATTGAGCGTTCCTTGACAGACTCAGGTTACCATCTTTAGATATGCACATTGGATATTGTAGAGCTTTACTCATATCTGGGTCAGCAGCATTCACTTGAAATAAGCCTACCTTTATCTTCCACTGTGATGAGCACTTCAGATGTTGTGTTCCCAACTTTTGAGATGAATGAACATCTGTATTCTGTGTTTTCTGACAGTGAATCTTTCACCCAGCTGAGAACATGCACTCTGCCATCAAGCAGCGTGTGAGATTGCTCTGTGATGCATGCCTTCATCTTTTGTCCGTTCTTCCTCCAGACAAAGTAGGAGTTATCTGGACCTGTAAAAATGTCAGGTTATTCTGTAAGAAAATGAGTCTGGAAAGAAAAGAAACCCCATCACGTCAAGATAAGGCTTAAAAACATAAATGGTTGATTGAAATGTTTCTTAGGTTTCTTTAGCTGAAATTCTGGGCACAAAAAGCCTGGGATAAAGAGGAGCTAGCACTGGAAGTTTGGGTTTAAGCCAAAGTTGTGGTTTTGTATTGAGGAATTCTGTGTTGAGGATTCTTACAACAGGGGGCTTGGCACACACAGTAAGAGCCAGTGATGAACACCAGCACCATCTGCCTGTGTGAATTCCTGTAGCCCTAGGACACATTGCCTACTGCTGCCCAACAGAGGTCCTGGTACAAAGCTGAAACCACCTCAGACGTGCCTTGCAGAAGCTGAAAAAAAGGCCAGGAGGGGAAAAGGTCAAGAACTCAGTGCGCCGACGATGCTGGAACTAGTAATGAAAGAGGCAGAACTGGAAAAAGCACAGAACCAGTAGTCACAGCAGGCACTTAAGCAAGACAGAACTTGAAAGAAGCTTGGATCAACAACAGAGAGCAACCTAATTTTTTTAGCCTTGTTACTATTATTTGTCTTAACCTGCAAGGGCAACATTTGAATAAATCAGAGATTGACAGTAGCCTGGAGGACAGAACAGCTGTTCCCAGAAAACTAGCTAGCAAGGTTGGCTGAAGTGCACTTGGCAGCATCAGAGCCTTTCCATTTAAAATACAAACATCTGGGCCAAGCTAAGAACTTTGTAATTCTGATGTTTAAAACATGACTATTTCTCCCTCTGGGCCTAGGATCCAGACTCGCCTTAGCAAGAGAAGATGTGAAGAGAAATTGGAGGTAAAAAGAAAATGAACGGTTGTTGCAAATATGTCTTGACAGAACCTGCTACAGCTTTTACTGTGAGCACTTCATATTGCAAGTTGATGTGGCGTTTTTTCCCTAGAAAAATACAATTCTATCATTAAGTTTTAGATAGTCATGTAGAAAAAGAAAAACAACTAGTTTTTACAGTTGTGTACATATTACAAATTCGTACATTGGCATTTTTACATTGTGTATCATATTAAATTCTTAACTCCTAAGTTTTATTTCCAAATCTCCCACAAATATGGGCACATAAATTAGCAGGAAGGGTAAGGGTGAATGACAGAGGACATGATCTAGTTAAAGCATTGTAGAGTTTCTCTGAGGGAAGTGGCACAGTCTGAAGGCCTGACAGCAGCTCTAACAAAGCAGAAAGAGCAAGCATCCACTGGATTGAAAACAGCTGGTCTAGCACTTTTTTATTTTTTTAAAGGTGTTTTATGGATGATTGTAATCATTCGAGTTAACAGCAGATAGGTTACATGTCACTAAGGTCATGGGAAATCTGGAACCGGGGGCAAATTACTTCAGTAACATAAAGCTGAAGTTGGAATTTGGACAAATGGGAGGAATAGTAAGTGCAAGCACAGCAAAAAAATCAAAATCCTTAAGTGCCATTTTAGAGCCATGCAAGGAAGTGGCATGTTTAGTGCAGGACACTGCCCTAAACTTCAGATGTACTCAGAGAACCTGCTCTATCTTTCAGTGTTGAAGATCCCAATTGTGCTGGAAATCTGCCAAAATTTCAGCTTACATCTACATTTCACCTAGAGATTAAAATGCAGCAATTTCCTTATATATGAAATTTTGAAAGCTGTGTTGGTTCAGATTGGTCCCTTACGAAGTGCAACTAGGCAATTTTACCCTTCCATTGTTTTTGTGCAGTCAGAAGCACTGGAAATCCCCAGAGATACACACTCATCCCCACTTACACTGTTTGACAGCAAAATCTAGGTGCAAGCAGTACTCAGGGTTTTTCTGATCCTGCTGCAGTGCAGCTTGTTTCCAGTTTTCAGGTAATTACCTTCTCTGATTTGATTTGATTTTCAGGATGGATCAACAGAAAAAAAGTACACTGTGAAACAGTTTTATCTGCAAAAATTTTGAATCACATTTGTTAAATGCAATTTTTTTACAACTCTGGTGAGAAATTCAGAATCAGATGTAATGGTTATAGAAGGGTTTTGAAGATTAAAAAAATAATAGAAACATACTCTGCTTTTTTTTTACTGTCACAATAATACAGATGAATTCCATATCTAGTGCAGCCTTTTAAATAAAAGTTTCTGACCTGATCTACTTACTTTGCCATCCATGTTAGGAATGCTTGAAAGATTTTAAAGAAATAATTTTATTAAAACATAATAATCAAGCAGAGAATTAAATAGCACACCAGGCTAGGTACTTAAGTAACTATGTCTAAGCAGCCATGAAATGCATTTCAAATAGTTAACTTCAAAAACATTGCTTCAATAAACTACATTAATTACATGACTAAACAAAATCAACTTCACCACCTTGATGATTTTAGAAGGGGAATTAACAGTTATCTAACAAAAATACATGCAACTTGGTGGCATTATCTGAACTACCCTTTTCTCTGTGTAAGCCCTTCAAAATTCCCATTGTCTGCGGAAGTGTTTGCTTCTTTCCCACACAGATTTCATTTTCTCTGCTTTCAGTAATTTGGATGAAATTATAATGCCCAAGTAGTAATGACCAAAGTAGTAATGGCCCAAGTAGCTTCTGCCAGCAGAATGGGTTCTCTAACCTATGTCAAATCAGGCTGGGTTACAAAACCCACGTATTTTATAGCCAACTGACTTTTTCTCAGTATTTTCCATGAGACAAAAAAAAACTAAACTACCATTGTGAGCACAGAAACTCAAACCACTGCAATTTTTGTAATTTTCTACCCACAGTCTGACTGCATTCACTGGGTTATTGGTGTAAATTTGACCTTGACAGAAGTAAATAAAACCATATAGATAAATATTTAAAATAAAGAACTGAAGTATACACCTACAGATTTAGAGTAGCAATGAGGATGCACCCTGCTAAGCTGGACCAAATTAAGCATTTGCCATGTACACATCACAGCCTAATAGACAAACGGTTTTCAAGAGGGCGTGGAGACACTAATTTAAAAGGAGTAGATTATGGATTATAAGCAGAGCTCAGTGACATAGGGCAGGGGGAGCAAAAGGGAACACTGGCCAAGCTGGCTCCTTGTGCCAAACGCTGCCATGTGCAGAGAGCTGTGGGGACATTTCAAAAGCAGCCCAACGAAGCCACACTGTAAAAGCTGAGCAAAGCTGCCACTGGTGGTGGTCCAGCACAGGGTCTCCCTCATTTCTAACCCAGTTCTTGAAGGGGAGCATTTGACTAAGGCTTCCTTATATTCACAGAAACACTTCCAAGACAGGGGAGTTGGTACAAAAGCAGGAGCCATCAGAAAACCTACACCCCAGCTAATAATTCTGCAAATTGATAGCAAATTGAAATCCAGTGAAGATACCAACAGGTGTACCAGAGAGAAATTCTACCAGGGTAACAAAGTGTCTTTTACTGATATTCCTGTAATCTAGACAAGGAACTGCTACCGGAGGGATCCCATCCCACAGGGATGGGAAGTTCAAGTTTATGAAAAAAAACCTCCCTTGTAAACCCAATACACACCAAAACCTCTTTCAAAGCTCACCACGTGCATCAGATTAAGGACAACATCTGGATTTAGTGCTTGTTATCAAGCTTGTGGCTTTGCTGAATGCTACTGAAGCAAACATCCCAGATTTCTGAAAACCAAGATCATACAGGAAGCTCATCTGGAGCAGGGATTAAGTTTTAAAAAGGCACTATAAACTGGATACAGGAAGTTTTTTTTTAAAAATCAGACATCAAAGTTAGCCCAGAAAGAGGTTAGTCAATCATTAATATGAAACATTACCACCAGCATTACTCAGGATGGGAATGAAAGGTTTAGGGCTGGTCACAGTTTCTTGAGTTGTAGTAGTCTGAGGCATTGCTGCTGATAAGATACCACAACAATTAACCTGTATGAAATGAAGCCATCAGAGGGTAGCTGACTGGAAAAGTGGGGTATTTTTTTTTTGTAGTTTTCTGAACAATGTGCAAATTACATAGCCTGTACCCCCTACAACTGGGGTGCATTTTTTTGTAGTTTTGTTGGGTGGCGTTTCATTGTTGAACTAGGCCAATTCATTCTAGAAGACAAGCTTGACAGCAGTGGAAAAAGGTCCCCTTAAAAAGCCAAGAAAACAGACCTCTCTGAAATGCCAAATATTACTTCCAGTAACAAGTATTTCATACTGAAGAAATTATGTCCTTCAGACACCTGGTGCTTCATTAAATTACCCATTCCCCTTGTGTATCATCAAGCTTGTACCACAAGCTGCTGCAGCCTTATTATGGCAGATGAAAAGCAGGATGTGCTTCCTGCGAAATGTGAACCACGTTAAGAGGTGGAAGCAGCAACCAGTCACTAGAGGTGATGCATAGCACATGTAGGTGCAAGCAGGACATGGCATCTGTCTTCTCCGAGTGGAATTTAAAAGCAGGTTGGGAAAATGGCTGACTGGCCCATTAGATAAAAATGCAATTGGTAACTCTTCATGCATTTATTCAGATGCTCTCTGAGGGTGTCCAGAAAAAGGTTTTGCAATTAGAACCTAAATAATTGTCTGTAAAAAAAAAAAACAAAACAAAACTATGAAGCACTAGTAAGATAGAACCTGGGACTGTCACCAAAAAAAAAAAAAAAAAATTAAAAATGAGGTTTCACTTTCAAAGTATCACAGAATTAACTAGGCTGGGAAAGACCTTTGAGATCCTCAAGTCCAACCTATAACTTAACTCCACCTTATGAACTAGAGCATAGCACTAAGTACCACATACAGTTTTTCCTTAAACACTTCTAGGGATGGTGACTCCACCACCTCCCTGGGCAGCCCATTCCAATACCCACTCGCTCCTTCTGTGAAGAACTTTTTCCTGATGTCCAGCCTAAATTTCCCCTAGCACACTTTGTGTTTGTGCAATTAGTTTTGGCCATTCTATCAGCTAACAAGTCTACTATGTTAAGTTTTAAAATAAAGTCAAGAGAATTGGA